TATTTAATTCAAAATCCCAATTCAATAAATACAAATAAACTTTTTCAGAAAATAAAAATTACCAATTGCAAAGAAGTCTTCAAAATAAGCATCATATAATAAATTAGTAAATGCAGGGAATTTTGGTGTAACGGTTATATTCTTTTCAGTTGTATTAAACTTGTAGGTTAGAATAAGACTGTACACTCTTCGAGAATTAGGAAGTACATCTCGATCAGGACTCAATGGTTTCAATGAATATTCAACTGGACGCAAATGTCTGCGAAGAACATCTAGTGTAAACAGAATTCATTCTTTCAATACTAATTTATTTTATAACGAATCATTTTTACTCGATAATGTAAAAAAAATAATTTACCTAGAGTGATCGAAGGATTGACTTCATCCTCCCTTCGAACTGGCGCCACAACATCTATCCGAGTGAACGCATCACCACCGTTGATGTATATAGTATCTCCACCATTAGTTGCATTGTTAGAAATTTGGATGCCGTGAAAAGTAAGGTCTAATGATACCGTGTGATTTCCCAAATTGGACCAAAATTGGGCAAGACAAACCTATTTGTTACGAATAAACAAACTTGTTATGAAATTAAATTACTTTATTTATACTTTCAAATAATATTCAATACCTCTAATGTTAATCCTCCACGAACAGCAAATCTTTTTTTCTCGATTTGTTCTTCTCCGTTACCATCACCATAACTACCCTGACCAAGGAAGAAATAATTTCCCACTTCATGACTCGTGAATCTTTTTTGTGGTAATAATTGAATCATATGTAAACGGAAGCGGGCTGGCGAAGTGGCCTTAGTTGTAGAAAACTTTATAGTCAAATCTGGGAAATGGGCAAAAAAAAAAAAATAATTTAAAATAAATAAATCAATCAATTAAATTTTATAGACGCTAAAATAAAATATGCATACCAGCAAATGTTGCACCATCAGGAACCTTGATAAATCGCCTTTCTATATGGCCAGGACCAAATGACCAATTATCAAAGGTCACCTTGGAACCATTAGGCAAGATAATAGGCCTGGTAACAGTAACTGGTACTCTGAATATAGGTCCACGATCCGGACAAGTTGTATCGTAACCCTAAATAAAAGATATAATTTAAACAAAAGAATTTATAAAAGTAAATATTAATTAAATATACTCACTTGAACTTCACCAAAATCAAATTCGCCAGGGGTCAATTGTGTTGGATCAACTTTGACTTCAAAGGTTCTTCCTGTATAAAGTATATATAATATACAAATCAAATTTGATTTCAAAGATAGAAATTCTCTTCCATTATATATGATTTCTCCAATATTTACTTACCCTTACTGCCCATTAACAAGAAATCCGGACAACGAACCCAAGGTTGTGTACTAACTAACGCCAAACGAGTTTCGAATTCAAATTTCTTCATATTATTTTCTCCTGAAGTTGGTTCAATTTCTTGCATAAACCTTGGTTTAACAGTTACACTAATTGGTCGTGCACTTGAAGTCTGATGTTCCTCTCTCAAGTAAATACCACGATTGTTTCGTGGCTTATTTGACAATTTAACCTACGTAATCATAGCATTAGTATAGTTATTTGTGAATTATCCTTACATTTAAAGTTACACCGTTTTACCTCGAAAGAAATATCTTGATCTTCTCGATCATAATAGGTAATAAGATAATCCCAAGCTTTTTGTACTTGGATGAATCCTACTCCAAAATTTTCATTAAGCTTTTTGCCACTGTTTACAATGGCATTTTTAATCCTGAATGGTGTGTACGGTTTGCCTTCAGCTTTGAGACCAGATAAAAGTAAGGAAATGCATCCTGTCACGTTAGGGGACGACCTATAGAACGACGTCAGATATAAATATTGTAATTAATCAAGGAATATATCCGGGAAACCATTTTTAAGATTATGTGATTAATGACATTACATCGATGTACCATTCATTAATTGAGACTTTGTCAAACTATAGACGGGTGTTGACGTTATAGCACTATTTGATAAAATATAAAATTTTAATATTAATTTGATAAATGGAATTAAAAGTACACCGCATATTATAATTACCTTCCAGGACCATATATTGTAACACCCATATAACCATCAGTGCAAGGTCCTTGAGAACTCCACGTGTAGGCTCGTTCAGGAACAGATTCAAGGAGAGCATATTCGGCTTGAGTCATTGAATGACTAACATAAGCCCCAACACCGATCATGTCTAAAAAGTTTTTCGAGTTGAATAAACGGCAAAGTGAACTTTTCACAATAATACTATTCATTACAGCTTACCACTTGATGTACCACCGGGTGTTCCTGTAGTGCTCAAAGCGGGACCACTATTTCCGGCGCTGCATATGAAAAGACATCCATATTTGCCGACCACTTCACGAATTAAAGAAAGAAAATGACCAGAATCCGGGTCAGAAGATGATTCACCGTAACTCATATTCGCAAGGTCACATTTTGTCTCGACAAGTGCTCTAGCCGCTCTAGCCAATCCAGCTCCTGTCTCCATACTTCCTAAACGAGTATCTCCGATTTTAAGAGAAACGATCTGCTCGTGATTATTTATAATTTAGAATTCAACTCGTTATCCGTGCTAAATCGCGTGCAAATTCTTTGACATTATCTTACCTGTGCACCTGGAGCGACCTAAGTAAATTACGAGGAAATAATATTAAACAAATTAATTCCTTGTAATGTTGATTTTAAATAACAAAAATTTTCTTTGAATATTAAATACCCCATTTAGTGCTGGATCCTCGGGATGATTTGCTGCAGTGATAGCAGCAACATGCGTTCCATGATCGCCAGCTACTGTAACAATACTATAAAGTTTTAGAAGATTTTAGTCAGCATACAAAGCTAGGCAAAGAATCACAAAAGTACTTTAAAAAATTACCTGACAATATTACCATCATCATAGATATTAACAGAGTAATTAAGCATGTCTTCTTGACTAAATGGTTGATATTGGTATTCCTTATGATAATCCGTTAAAAGTGGTACTCCTAATTTAAATTGGGAACATTTAATTCACCGAACGAGAAGAAAGGTGCGATCAAGACCATCAAATGCAATGATAATTCACCTCGTAAGTCTCCACATTCATCTGCATCAATTGCAACTCTCCAATCGCTTCCGTCATTGAATACTACTATATCTAAAATTATGCCTGGATCATCATAATTCTTTAATGCATCTTTAAGAACTTCAATCCTAGCTTCAAGATCTGATTTAGTAGCCATATCAGATTCTGTTGGTTTTGATGAAGAAGGGTGTGCTTCCTCCCAATTAGCGAGCTTTTGTTGCACTTCAGCAAGAAGTTTATGATGCTCAGATTCAAATTTGTGACGACGTTCCTGAATTTAAGTCAAATAATTAATTAACATAACAAATCTGAGAAATTAATAATCATAAATCATAACGGTACTTTTGTTAATCTTGTGATTAATTTTGGCGGAAATAGTTCGTGAGCTCTCTTTATGCCAACATGAAACTCTCCGGAAGGATTGTTCCAAGTTGGATCAATGATAAGAGATCGACCTGATAACCCTTGTATGGTGGATAAGGTTCCCTTAGAATCTTTATTTACACAAGGTTTCATGATAGTTTTTGTAACGACATCACCTAAATAAAAGTACGATTTCAATACGAGATCACTTGAAATTAAAAATAAGATGATACAAAAAAAAATTCTATAAATACCGGAACCGGTACAATCAATGATATCAATGATTTTTTGTTTTCCTTCAGTAGTTTTCTTAATGATAAGTTTATTATAAATATTGAAATAATTATGATCAAGAAACAATTGGAATAATTATCAGATCCAAAACTTTTGAGGTCTTACTTGTAAACCTGCTGCACCGGGATCTACACCTGTATCCAATATAGCAATTACAGTTCCACGACCATCAAATTCGGTATATTTTTTCAGAAAAGCAGCAGCTTCAGTTTCCTATATAATGATCGGTGCGTTGAAAGATTAAAAATCATAAAGTATTAAATTTTCATGTAAAGACGCGTGAAAGCTAGTCGTATATAAACAGTAATTAAACCGACCTCTTTTGGAAGTAGACCAAATGTGGGAAACTCGGGAATTGGTTTTGACGTTTTAATAGTCATTTTGGTTTCTGCAATTGATAATTTGACGATCAATGTCGAAAAAGTTGTATAAAATTATGACAAGTCTCGTGATTTATATGATCAATGAATGTCTCGACCAAAAAAGTTTAAAATACCTACTTGACTTATTTGACTTGTGTTGATATTTATAGCTAAAAAGACCAAAACCATTTAAAAAAACAATTTAATGATCATTGAAATAGGATATAAATTTATACAACTTACTTTTTCGTAAAAAATCCTATTGCAACATAATGGCGTTGATAAATCCAATTTTTATTACACACAAGATTCGTAATATTTATGGTGGTCAATGAAATGTTATGACCCCTTTTAAATACAAATAAATTAACAAAATTATTAAACATTCCACACCTTTTTCAAGGTTATTATTCAACAAAGATACCGTCAAACTCCTTGCCGTTTATAATTTCGTCTAGCGAAAAAAAAATTTTTTTTTTTTTTTTTTTTAAAAATCTATGGGAAGATATTACAATCCTAATTTAGAAGTTGGTTTGGGATGATGTGCAATCTTTCCGCAGGATCGGTATTGTCTTACCAAAAATTATTAAATTATTATATCGAGGGATGATTTAATGACAATTAACTTTGAGATGTATTGTTTTATTGAAAAGTCAGTAATGAATAATAATGGGTTTAATTTGTTCTTTGTTAAAGTATTATTTGACTCTTGAATTTGGACTCGAGAGATTTTTATAGAAAATGAATTGAACCTTTTTCAAATTTTCCGTCTCTGTGTTTTTCGTCAGAGACTTAATTTTACATTCTTTTTTCTTTTAATATCAAATATTGCTCAATCGTTTAATACATTATTTTTTTTCCATAAAGAATAAGAAGGAAAATCGACAAAATATGTCAAATTCAGACGACCCATCACATATTACAACGCAACGAAATTCCACACAACAAAATTCTCTAAATCCTTTTCATAATTCAACATTTTTCACGTTACCCTCTGATATTAGTTCACAAGATATTCCAAGCGAAACACCTCACCTTAGTCCATTAACTTTTAGACATCGACAATCATTGTTGCAACCAAATTTCAGTCCACGAGTCGTCCCGATCTTTGTATCTAGTCCAAATTCCGATCTTAACTTTTTATGTCCTTATTCTTTGCAACGTTTACCTAGTCAAAATCTCAATAATCTTTCATTTTTACAAAATATCGAAAGAAATAATTCCCAATCGACACCGCGATTTATACAATATAATTCATTGTCTCCACACTTCATAAGAAGAGTAGATAATAATACCACTCTTTTTATTCCTACTTCACGTTTTCGAGCCTTACCTTTTGCAACTATTTCTCCTGTTAATTTACCATCTTTAGCATCATTTGAATCATCTACTATGTTGGAACCACTTGCTTTAGCAAATCCATCCTCAACCATACGTCTGCCAACTTCAACCACTTCAAACGAGGTTTCTGATCGCGATGATATACGTGTAAAAATAAGCATTCCTGTGCACACGGAACCCACGGATGTACGTAGATATATCTTTAGATTTTTTTTTTTGCACAAGTATTTTAATTTACAAGCTAATTTACACAACCTTAATTTATTTGAGTAGGAAAAAAAAAGAGATATCATTAAATCTTCTAAACGAAAACCCGAAAAAGAAATGTTTAAGGACCCAAGGAAAAAAATTCGTAGACCCTCTAATACAACTAACGATACGATGGATAATGATAATGTTTCGATTATTAAAGAAGTAGACATGACATTTAATTCTGAAAAAGAACGCGAACTTAACAAAGAACCTGGGGAACGTCCTCCTCTTAGACGTTCTGCACGAATCGCAAAGGATAAACAAAAACGGGTTTTATTCTATGAAACATTATCACAACTATCAAAGAAAAGGAAAAGAATGGACGAGAGTGATAACAATTATAAAGCGAAACCTGACGAGCCTCCACAGAAGCGTAGAGGAAGGCCTCGTAAGAATGAACAGAAATCAAATGGTCGACCACGTGGTAGAGAGAAACTCAAAAAATAATTTTGGTATTATAAAATATATCCCAAAGGTAGAAACAGCATTTTGGATTTCTCTAACGTGCGACTTCATCGTTCTCTACATTTATAATTTCTTTTAAATATTGGTATCGATTTTTAAATTTACCACATGTTAAATCTCATTACCTCAATAAAATATATTGCTTTTGCGATGACTTTGGGCGTGCTACGAGTTCACAGTTGCACCATTCTTACAAGATTTTGTTATCCATGGGAATAGAATTTGTACAACTCTATTGGCTTTACTTGATTAGTTATCGTTGTTACCTCGTCGTTGTTAAACGTTGTTTCGATTTTTTTTTTTTTTTTTACGGATTAGAACTCGATGATCTGTAAATATTATTTTTTTTTTTTCTTTCTTTCTTTCTTCTTTGTTGGTTTTGAAATAACCAAGACAACGAAAAGTTTTTACTTGTAACAGTACTACAGCGCTTTATTGGTACAAACCAACTTCCATTATTGAATGAACGGATAAATTGTTGAAATAATTTAGGACATCCCGAAATTGGTTTTTTTTTTCTTTTACTGATTTTTCCACTCGAAAACGAAAACTTTTTTTCTTTTTTAACATTCTAGTTGCTAATAAATCCAATCAAAGCCTATGAGCGAAAAATTATGTTAGAGAAAAGTCCGAATCTTTCCGATGTTTAAACACGCCATTATAAGATGATACGCCAAAAAAGTGACGTTATGTTTAATCTAAATCTCACCTGCTGCGGCGTATGCTTTTTATTTAATCTAAGATTGTCCTCGAGAATATTTATCATCTTCCAAGAATTTCGCGTTAGATGACTAATGAAAAAATTTTTTCTTTATTATGTACAATACAATCGGGTAAAACTTTTTTTCGAAGATTAATAATATTCTTGAAACGTTAACGATTTTTTTTTTAAAAAAATAAAATAAATAATAAAAGTAATAATAAACAATAATAAGTAGTTTATTATAAAATATTAAATTGCCGGAGGCGCAAAAACTTTTTCCGATCAAAATAACAATTTTTATCTAAAAAACAAAGATCTGACACGTTTCCTTTTGTTTACATTTTTCATTACATCTTGGAAATAGAAAATTTAAAGTATTTATAAAGGCTATGTTTTTTTCTTGAACCATTGCGGGAAATTTTCGTTATTGAATCATGAATTAAAAGAATGTAATATTTGAATTTTTTTCAATTCGTGTCTTCACACTTACCTTTTAACAATCGTCGTCATACTCCCTTTAAAATTCGTTTAAAATTCGTAATATTCGCAAAAGAGGTCAAAATGGTTAAAAGATATCGTGTTAAAACAAATACTTTTATTCCACCTCCATCATTTTCAAAATTTATTATTAATCGTTTCAGCCGATGAATTCGATGAATTAATAATAACTACGCAATGTAGCAATATGTAACAAGATCGTCTTAACTCGGTTTTTTAATTTATTGCAAAACTGCATTAAATTCAACAATTTCTTTTTTTTAAAACCGAATTTTATTTATTATTATCAAAGTTGACTTTTTTTTTTTAGCCCGTTATAAAATTATGCTTTGCCATATAAATCTTAACACATATGTAAAATAAAAAATATATATATTCGCCACTCATTTATTGAAATACTGTACAATCGAAACACTTAATTAAACCTTCTCGAACCGATTCGTAAATCGGATTTACTCAATTTTGCCTACTTTTTTTCTAGATAAAATTCTCTTTTTTCTATATAGATAGTTTGAACGGCTTCATAAAAACCTTCTGATTTTTTATATGCACCAATTTTTTTTTTTATAATTAAGAATTAAGAAATTTTTTTTTCCTTTTTTTTTTTTCAAAAAAAAAAAAAAAAATGAAATCATCATCGTAATAATTTTTTTTTTTGCTTAGCTTAATAAATAAAAATTTTAATTGTGAGCATAAGATTTATGCGTCATGTGAAGAGATAATTATTGTTATAATTTGTTTGCTAATATCTTAAACAAACCTTTTAAATATTGGTGCCTGCCTATAATGATGACTTTGTCTCGTCCTCTTGTCAAACGTGTTGGCATTGGCTGATAGACAAAAGGATATTTTTTTTTCAACGCACGAAGACAGCATTTGTTTCTCGAAATTTACGAGGAAATCTCTTATTTCTCGTTTGAAGTTCTTTATTTTTTTCACTCGAGAGATATTATATTATATCATCCAGATCTCACAATCTCGAATCTACGTTATACGTAAGTAATATTTAGTATGCAAAAGTGCGATACTAGGTACATCGAATCCAAGATTTCATGTTCGACATTCGAATATCCTAATTTCGAATGGAAGTTCCATGATCCAAACCTGCTATTTTTGTTTGTATATATGTATATATATTTTATTTTAGTAATAAACTTGAATGATGAAGTTTACAAATGACAAGTAGAGCGATACCAGCAGGACTGGTCTTAATTGTATATGTTTCCGAGTTGGTCAAAAACAGTGGCAGGGACTAGTCTTGATTACTATTGTTACTTGTTGCAAATCATTCAACCCGATAAAACCAGTTATATCAAGTGCATCTTTAACCAAACCCATAATGAAACACAAGTAAGCAACTGGATCAAATCAACATTTTTTTTTTTTATAATTTATACAATTAAAAGAATTAAAATTCCAATTTCACGAAAGAAAATTATTGGATTCCTGTGATAATGAAAACAGAAAAGGTTAGTGGTACTGTTTCAAACTGATAATCCAAAAGGAGATTGAATGTTAATGTTGATGTATGAAATCTTTTCATTTGGTGTCAATTTGTATAATACATACAATAGTAGATCAATGAAAAAAAACCCCCGATTACTCGGTGCTCGGGCAAGTATTTATAAATAAAAAAGAACAAAGTCCATTATTTTTATTCAAAGAAAGCAAAGTCGACAATAAGGTGCAATGTTTCAAATGTTATTATTATTATTAGACATATTACATTTTGGAATTTTTGTAAGTTTTCTTTGGGGAGACAATCATTACATTTCTTTATCACATTTTTTTTAATGTATTGTTTACGACTGATAAGGAAGTTGTTTTACTGAAAAGTTCAAAATTTGAATTCAAATATTGAGGAGAATATAAAATGTTTCAAGTTTACGAGGAAAAAAAAATTTTCAATTGTTTCCAAAAAAAGAACGTATTATATATAACAAATTTCGAATAATAATTTCAACCACATTGCGTTTGTTCATTTTTGGAAAAATATTTCCTAATGTAGATCATATGTCAAAAAAATAAATTTCCTGCGGTTCCTCGTGTATTCTAATAAAAAAAATTTATTTTTTTTTTTTTTAAAAAAAAAATGATGGCAGTTAAATGAAAGTATTGTAACGAAACCTCGCACAAATAAACGGATTAAAGTTTATTAATCATTAAATCTTATCAGTTTCAATGATGCAGAGAACGCGAAAAAGAATTCAAAGAATTAAGGGAGATGACATCTACGTTTTAACCCCTATGATTCAATATTTCTCCTGAAGAATATGGTAATAATTGTAACTTCTCCTTTGAGAATGAGAATTTTTAAAGATAAAATATCGAAAACTTTTTTCGTTTTAAATTTCCTTTTTAGTCGATCATTTGCACACAATTACGATCAGTTTCACAGAATAGAATCTAATTTGTATATATATTTGTTGCACATTGAAATTTTAACTATGAAGTTTTAGAATCCGGAATCAATCTGGTTTTTTTTTTTCACTTTATCCTTACAAATTCCGAATACGTTACAAACTTTGACTTATAATCTATATAATCTATTTATAAACGAAGATTGTCGATACACGAAATATTGCGTTCTATCTTTTTTTTACGTCTCTAAATGTCTAGTTTAATTATAAAAACATATATGTACATGTACAAAATACGGGATTAATCTTCCGAATAAAATTATCTTATCACCCTTTACCAATTTTGTCGGTTATTGACTAATACATCAAAAAACTAAATAAATAAACAACGAGCACGCTGCACTGCATCGACAAATATAAATACATATATATTAATTGATTAAATAAAAAAAAAAAGGTTACAATATTAATGATTACACAAAATAGCATGCACTATTTTATTTTGCTTCACACAATCAAAATTTAAAAACTTCGACCTAAACTTTTTTTGCTATCCGATTAATTACGGTTTTTCACTTGTAATTCTAATATAGGGTTAATCTTTTGCAGGATTGTTTATAAACAAATTAAATAATTTACATCCCCATTTATTCGAAACTTCAGCTCCCAAAATATATATATATATATATACGTTTTTTTTTTTTCATCTGGAAAATTTATTCATTTTTCGTTGAATATTTATCACCTAAAGGTTAATTAATTTAGCTTTAATTAGAATTTTTTTTTCTATAAAACAACGAATGCAAATCATTCTCACGTGTCCTACCTATCACATCCCTCGAACATTTTTTTCAACTCTAAAACTCTCTTTACTTTTATAAAGAATAAAAAACTTTTTTTTTCCTCTTACCAAATTAAAAGGATTTTTCCATGATACTTTTATTATGTATACCGGAAAATTCTTCGTTTTTTGCGTTCTATTATTAATAATATGTAACAGCACATATTGTATAGCAAAATTATCATTGTTCGATCAAAGTCGAAATGAATTGGCATCTTTTGAAACCATAGATTTCATGTGGATTAAACCCTCTTTGATCTCATTGAGCAATGCATCCTTGGTGATAAGTGAATTCTTGAATGATTCAACGCCGTGCAGAATAAAACGTCCCTCGAGACCGGACATTGATGTATTATTGATAAGATTTGATGAGGTATCAACAAATTACGGGTGCTCTTCTTACGCGGACGTAATTCAAAGGTAAAAGTCGAGAATTTTCTTTATTTGACAAACAAAGGGTTATTATGATAGATCCGAGAATTATGAATAGAATGAGACTTTTTTTGTAAATACCCCTTAGTAATTTCGAAAAAAAAATTTTTTTTTTTCCTTAACAAATTACAAATCTCTGAAAATGAAGGGTGGGATAAATTTAGTAATTAAATCAGAAAATCAAAATATTTTTTGTTTGTCAGGGGGTTAAATTATTATCTAAAATTGGTAAAGATTACGGATAAACCGCAGTATTTATGTAGTATGACATGAGAATTCAAATAACCGAAAAACATTTTCTATCCCGATAGTAACGGATGGTTAGATAATCAAGATGATACATCAACCTCTATACCTGAAACGGCCGAATTTCCTTCATCCGAATCCGTAACGATTACAACAACTTTAACGGGATGTGAATTATCATCAACACCTAAATCAACAACAACAATTTGTAACAAAGCGCTCTCTTTAAATATGGTACAACCACGAGACAGTATTTCACCACCAAGGATAATAATATTCACGTCAATGAATGGTGGTGATCCTGGAATAAGGGAGAAATTTTACGGAGATTTTGAGATATTATCAAAGGCTAAATCAAATTTGGCATTAATAAGAATATCTGATGCGACAAAGGTTTCAAAATTAAAGCCTAAAACTTCTTTTGTCGAGTTTATATCAGACAAGGGACCTTGGATGGAATTGTTTGAAAGCAAAGAATTGAAAATATGGTGCATTTTATTTGGAATTTTTTATTCGTCCATTATAATCTCGTCTTTTTCATTATTCGTATTGGCCATTAAAAAATATCATTGTGCTCTTACAAATCCAAGATTATGGTTATTTATTGCAATTATTATTTGCGCTTGCAGTAAGTTACATGTGATTTACCATTTTTTTTAAGTTCGTGTTACCATTTTTAGCTTATATCATATATATGTTTTAGTTTTCCTTTCTATGCTGGAATATGATCCATGGGCCATGCGTTCTAATCATTTATCAGAGTTGATGTATGAATCTATCGTCACGACGGGATATTACGTATTATGCCTTTCTTATGCGATATTCCTATTTCCATGGTAAATTTCGCGATTCAATCTAATACGCTCTTTATTACCGCACGATTTTAATCTTCCTTGATCGATTTTTATAGGATCAAAGCGACAAAGAATTTATCAGAAGAAGTGATTTATAAGATAGAATTTGTTCAAAAAATATGTCGAATATTTAAAGTTGGAATAATAATCGCTATATTATTGAAAACAGTATCTATAATGTTTTACCTGCTTCAATTTTCTTCAATGAAAATTAAAATATCTTCAACGATATTACAATTGATATTTATTATATTGGAAGGATTATTCTGTTTGATTGCGATGTTGATTTTTGGGATTTTTGGTACCATAATTTTCTTTGCAAGAATGCATGAACAACATTTGATACGAGCATTAAGGAAAAGAAGAAGACCTAATCAAATGCAACCTAGTGCGCGTCAGTCACGTATTGATAAAGAAATTATCATGGTAAATATAATCTCTATTTTTGTATATATATATATATTTTTTAAATAACTAGAATTAAATTATTATTTTTTTCCATTTAGTCGCTTGCGTTAACAATATTATTAATAATCTCGATTTTATTTATCACTTTGCAAAAGATTACAGTATATTTTTCAGTAACAATACTATCATTTTGGATAACGAGAATAACATTTGACGTATCAAATTTCTTTTGTAGTTTAGTTTTATTAGTCGCATTGCATTCAAATACTATTGGAAAATATTCTCACATGACGTATACTGGTAGTAGTGATGAAAACGTTACTATCTCCACTATCTCATCTCCCCCTTCAAGGGGTTCTTCTTTTCATAATTCGAGTATTGCCGCCGGCGCTACTTCTCGTCATCAAAGAAGAACTACTGTGGAAATATTATTTGGTAGAAGGAGTTTAGGGTTGTAAATAATTTTATAGTGAAGACGGAAAAAAAAGGGGGGTTATCATTTAATATTTTATAATTTTCATATACTACTTGTCATTATCAAATTTGTAAATAGCATATTTATGGTTAGGAATTTATATTTTATATATATATATTAATAATAATTATATCGGGAAAAATGAAATAATAATATGAATAATAAAACGGAACTGCGCCACATGAATATTATTTTAATACTTTATCCAACATTTTACCAATCCATTTCTTAATATTATTAGTTTTTGTAAAAGGGACCAGACCAAAATTGGCTAATAAATTATTAGTCATTATACCTTGAGAATCAAATTTAGAAACTTGTTTAAGAAATAAATCTATAGCATTTTTATCAAAAGAATGATAAAGATATTTATAATCTAAATCGGAGTCCAAATGTTGGCCCCAATGAAATCTAGCCTTGTACTTTAATGCTGTACCAAACAATGGCTTATAAACACGTTTATAGTAATCGATCCTTGTATCCTATATATGAATAATAATTACAAAGTCAGAATAAAATGTCAAGCTTAAACTGACAGTAATTATTGATAAAGTAATAGTTACTTACATATACTAAAATTGGCATTTCAACAAAACACCTTGGTTCACCATTAGTATTATGAGCCATAGATAAATATTGAGAAGAGGCAGCGGCAAATCGTACAGCAAGAGGACCATTAATATTATAATTAAATCTTGTTCTAATTTCTTGAAGTGTTTCCTTCAAAGCATCGATTGCTCTAATATGATTATTATCAATCATTGAAAATGAAAATTCTACGGCAATCGCACTAAAGTCATTAATAAATCCAACTAGATAAATATTATTGTAATCATCAACTTTAGGAGTATTATTATATTGAGTTTTTAAAGCAGTTTCAATTACAAAAGGAACAATTTTTGGAAATAGATTTAATAAAATAAATAGAATATGTCCTCCATCAACACTCAATTTTTTAGCAATATCACGAATAATTGGGTAATTTAAAAATTCTTGCAACCATTGTTTATGATGATCTTTAGGATAGTTTTCTTCATCTTCCTTTGTTGCAATATTTCTTCTTGTAACGAGAGCATATGATGTGTAAGGACTGATCCATACTTCTGCATTATGATATTTTAAAATATCATTATCACTGTAAGGTCGTTGTGATAGGATGGGTTTAACAGCTTCCCAGGTCGTTTCTTCTCTCATTGAAATTACCTTATAATACGGAACTGTTTTAATGGTTACTTGATATACAACACCTAATGCTCCTAAATTTACTACGCTTGCATTAAACGTTTCATCTTGTTGAATTAATTGAATATTTGGATATTGTTTCGAAAATAATATAGGATCCGTGATTCCAATCGTGGGTTCAATTTTATAAATTTGTCCACCTGGTTCGATAAGGTTAACCGCAATTACGAATGATGCTAAAGGTTGAAGAGTGATCCCACTTCCATGTGTTGACGTCGCATTACATCCGACGATTGATTGGCCACCATATCCGGGTAAATTAAATATAGCCCTTTCATCCTTTTTCAATTCTGATACAACTTCATTGATTGTAGTTCCACATTTCACATCATAATATAAATTATCGAGTTTAAATTCTTCTCTTACTAAATTTAAATCAGTTTTAGTCACCCCACGATAATTTTTAGTATAAAGAAGGAATCCATCGGTTTCAGTTATCCGACTATGTATAGAAAGGTTATTTTTAATATTGCATTTAGATGATTGATTAATTTTTTTTTTTGAGATTTAAAATATTTTACTTGAAGGCTTCAAAACTTCCTACGGCTTTAGCATGCTTAGCTTCATTATGGGAAGCTTTCATAATCTCTACAAATCTTTCCAATGATGTAATTTCTTCAACATCTGCACGGAAGGTTATATTACCAAGCTTATTTGTGACAACCTCTAGCGTTTTCAGAAAGGAATTATCAATATCATGACCAATGGAGCGCAGCAGAACTCCCAAAATGATACCCACCTATTTGAGGCCCAGTATGATCTTGATTTTTATCAATAAGGTTTTGGATCGTCTTGACAACCAATTCCTCTGAAAAAAGAATTTTTAAACAATCCATTTAAAAAAAGGTATATATATATATACACTGTATATAAAAAAAATATATCCCGTCTTAAGATACCTAATTTCCTTTTCATTTCATCACTTTTTCCGTAAATTTCTGATAATTCCCAAAGGTTTTTTCCATCATAAATTTCACTTGCTTCTTTATTGACATCCATTTTCATGGTTTTTCTCCGTTTAAAAATATACTGTAAATATTTTATTTTGTCGCTTTTCATTATGTAAATGGACTGTAGCAAAAAAAAAAAAATTATTTTATTAAAATTCCAATAAACCTGTTTATATATAACGCGAAATAAATTCAATATACCTTCTTTAATCAATGAAAATTACTTTATAAAGAAAGTGTGGGATTTAAATCGTAAAATAGAATAATAAAGTAAAAACCAAATAAAGATTTTTTATAGTATCCGAAATGTGATAATGTCCGAAATGAGCATTTCGGACATGCATTAGTCCCAAATGCGCATTTTCATAGATGATCATTTCGGATATCCCAAATGCTCACTCATTTCGAATATCCAAAATGACCACTTCAAAATGCTCATTTCGAATATCCCAAATCATTTCGGATATCCTAAATGACTACTTCGGATATTATCCCAAATGACCACTTCACACATTCACGAATTGTAATTTCAAATGACCTCTTCGAATGATCAAAGACATATAGGAAATTAACATTATATATCCAAAAGTTAAATTACTAATTAAGATGCCTTATATTTGTCATTTGGATCATTCGAAATGGTTTTTGGAACATATGGTCATATCGAGCATCCGAATTGATAAATTGGGTCGAAGTGATTATTTGGGTGAAGGTGTGGTATGATCGATCCGAAGTGGTTATTTGGGATAATATTCGAAGTGGTCATTTGGGATATCCGAAATGCTCATTTCAGACATTAACGCATTTCGGGCACTATAATATCCCTTTATCTATATTAACGTCAATTTCGGATCATCCAATCACACGATTGAATTATCGGCCGAAATTATAATTCAATAAATTCTACTTAAAAGAACCTGATTTTAACATTCAATCGCGAATATCTCGTGATCGGCTGATCGTAATTCGATGTATATTAGCTCATTGGATTCGTCTAGTTTCGAGGATTCAAATGGTTTTTTTTTATTTTCCAGATCCGGTACCTGTCAGTTCACGTGACACCAGGGAAAGTTATAACTCTTTAAGAGCAACTGACCCGACGGTGTTTACATATTCGACTTCTATCTCTTTGCTCTATTTTAAGCCAGAAGGTAGTGACAATAAACTGTCTAACCACGTGTTTATCTAGAAATAAGATTGCAGTTAGATAATAGCCCATGCTGCACGATTAGTTATTTAGCTAATACTACTAGATTGAGGAGTCAAGCAAGTCCTATTTTCTAAGATCAGTTAGAACTAGATAAGCCCGCCATACTGTCAAATAATCTGGAAATAGAATCCAGCCTCAAAATCTAGAATTATTTAGCCATTACGATGAAAGAAAATATCAACTACCTATAACCTATGACTATCTACCTTTTGAATGTTATAGCCACACATTACACAATGCTACCATTGATTCTACCTTTACAGGTACCCTTTGCAGACGATGTGATACTTATTCATTACAGGCCAGCCCAAACTATAGGTTTTAAACTTAATTGATTCACTATAAGTGATAATGTCTATTACCCTTATCTGTTATCAGTAAGACATTGTGGATAAAACGAACTTACCCTTTATAGTGGTAGCTACTATTATACTATATAGACACATCTTGATTACCATATTCTACAAATTTATAACTTTCCATATACATGATATGCACACATCCTATAAAATTCATTCCTTGAATTAAACTAGTAAATCCTATAAATATTATTACAATCTGTTGTAAGACTAAAAGCTGAACTAGGATCTATTGCAATGTAACCAATATTAGAGTCCCAGTTATTACTAACTAAGACAGGATTGCCAGATCTTTGAGGATTCGAATGGTAGTTTTTAGTTTTTTCATGAGAAACTGAGTAGTATTGACCGAGATCATACTTTTTATTTAGATTTTTTATATAATAATTATGTGATATTATGACATCAATTTTGACTATTTCATGATATTGTATTGATTAATTTTGGTTTTATATTTAATTCATATTAATAGATAACTGAATTATACTTATTTTCTTCTAAAAATTTTTAAATTTTACATAATTTATTATAAAATTAATTAATACAAGTGGGATATCATGCTTTAATATAATCATATTAAAGCGTGGTATTCTACTTGGGTTAGGTCATATAAGTAATTTCATAATCTGAATATCACGTTATAATCTAATAAATAATTTCATAATTTGAATATCATGCTTTAATTTAAATATCATACTTTTTCTTATTTCTGAGTTATTTACATATTAAATTCTATATTATTTGTTGATCTTCTGTAGTTATTTAGATACTTAGTTTTATATTGAGAGTGCTGGCCTTCTGCGTCTGTTTGAATATTAGATTCTATATTAAGATGCTTATCCTTGCATCTATTTGCACCTGATTGAAGATTGACTTTTATATTAAGAATGCTATTACTTTGCGTCAATTTGAATATCAGGCTTTTTGTTAAGAATGCATACTTCTTGCTGGTTCTTCTGATTATCGAGTAGTATAAAAAAAAACATTAGATTAGATCTGCTACTTGCCTACCTCCTCTTTCTCATATAATTACTACTTTTGAGATTTTCTTGAATGCTGATTGAATCCTGACTTCTTTCTTGTCTATTACAAAATGACCATCTAAGGTAAAATTTCTTATTTTTTTTCTTATAATAATATTGCTTTGATATATCACCTTTTTTATACCCTGTTTTATACTCCTGTTTTTTTAGATTTCTTTTTTGTATAATTGTTACTTTTGGATTATTTCTTGAATGCCAAATAAGATACACATGAAGTATCGAACTTGCATTCTTATTATTTTTCTAAGTTAATTGCAATTAGAGTAAATCAACTTCTGCAGTATTGAAGGTATAAAAAAAGGTATTCCTCTGAGACTATTCACCTTCTTATTATTTTTCTAAGTTAATTGCAATTAGAGTAAATCAACTTCTGCAGTATTGAAGGTATAAAAAAAGGTATT